TTTAGACATGAAAATACCATAATTAACACACATTTAGAAAAAACAAAAATCTCAAAAGCTATTAATAATGAATTATAAATGAATTATTAGTGAAATCGTAAATGTAGACTACAAAAAAAGTCTACTATGTGCTATGGCATATGCAGGTAGACTTCTTTTGAGATTATTAGTGAAATCGTAAATCGTAAATGTATATATGTTTTGCAATTAAGGCATATGCAAGTAGATTTCTTTTGCAGTCTACACAACGAATTTGGGTTAAAAATGCTATTGACTAAAACGTTGACTTTATAACTGTAGACTTCTTTTTCAGTCTACAAAAGAAGAAATGTTAGTTGTGCAATTGACCATAGTTTGACTTTGTAAGTGTAGATTTCATTTTCAGTCTACGCAAATACGCGAAAAATCGTATGAACGTGTAGATTTCTTTTGCAGTCTACACTTATAAAGTAGACTGCAAAAGAAATCTACACCAAAAGAAACAGATTAATTTTGCATTTGACCAGAGTTTGACTTTTGGAGTAGACTTTAGAAGAAGTCTAATCGTAAAAGTAGACTGCAAATGAAGTCTACTCTAGAAAAAAAGGTTAGTTTTGTGTTTGATCAAAATGTCGATTTAATTAAATTGTAGACTTCATTTGCAGTCTACAAAGTAATTTTTCCGTAGTCAAATGTTTGAGATTTTAGTCAAACACAAAACTAACCGATTTTCTCAAAGTTGACTTCGTTTGAAGTCTACTAATAAAAGTCAAAGTTCAATCAAATACAAAAATGACCTCGATTTTTTACAAAGTAGACTTCATTTAAAGTGTACCGCCAGTAGACTTCAAATGAAGTCTGCTCTACAAAATCAAATTTTTGGTCAAATTCAAAACTAACCTCACTTAAAAAGTCTACACACGTTTTTTTTTGTTTCCAAAGGAAAACGCGTAGACTTCATACTTTGAATATTTTCAAAAATGGTCAATTACAAATTTAACCCCTCCATTGACAAGTAGACTTCTTTTGAAGTCTACTATCGCGAAGCATATCTGAATACGGACAAAAATCAAGTAAATTTATATTTTTTCGTCGTTCAAGCTCGTTTTTAGCTTCGTCAACCACCAGAAACTTTGAATCTCACCCGTAACAAAGAAGCCCAGACGTCGTTATGCAAGAACCATTGAAATTCGTTAGACTATGAGAGAAAGAATTTTGAAAATGAAAATTAGAGAGGTTTTTGGATAAAAATGAAAGATTATGAGGTTATGAGCTTAAATATTTAGCATTTAGAGCTCAAAAATCAGTTGGGGAAGTATTTAGAGTTCCAAATTGGTTGTTCATGGTGGTTGAGAATGTTAATGAAGATAGCATTTTCGTGAATTCGTTGGTTTCTTATGGTTTTTGTATATTTTTGCTAATTTCAAAACTAAAAAAAAAATCTGAATATAATGGTATTTTCGCGAATACGTGAAGTTGGCAGGGATATGTTTGTGAGAAACTGACAAAATACGAGAAAGGGAAAAAAATCAATGAATTCATGAAAATGTCTTCATTAATATTCTCAACCACCAGAAATAACCAATTTGGAATTCTAAATACTTGGGGTTAGTTTTGCATTTGATCCCACGTTATGGATTATTTGTGAAACAATCCCATATTGATATGCTGACATGTTATGAATGCCAATTTCTCTTTTACTTTTCAGAGACAAAAGTTGCGTCTTTGTATACCTTTTGTCAGCTCCGCTTTCTCACTTTCCTCTCGCACTCTCAGCTTCCAAGCTTTCTGTAATGGCGATTATCACAGAAGAAGAAGAGGAAACGAAAACCTTATTTCAACCGGAGCATAAAGTTAGGGAGAAGGAATCATCGAAATCGGAATCGGATATGAAGAATGATAAACCTCAATCTCAGAACCCTTTTCCTTTCTGGTTCTACTTTACTCTCGTGGTCTCATTCGCCACCGTCCTCTTTGTATCTCTCTCTCTTTTCTCTTCTCACAACGATCCGAGATCCTGGTTTCTCTCGCTCCCACCAGCTCTCCGTCAATATTACTCAGATGGGCGAACCATCAAGGTCCAGGTAAACCCTGACGAGTCACCGATCGAGGTTTTTGTTGCCGAATCGGGTTCGATTCATTCTGAGAATGTGATAGTGATTCATGGGTTAGGGCTTAGTTCGTATGCGTTTCGTGGAATGATCCAATCGCTCGGATTGAAAGGGATGCATGCTCTGGCCATTGATTTGCCCGGAAATGGATTCTCAGATAAGTCGGTTTTAGTGAGAGGTGGAGACAGAGACATAGGGATGGTTGCTAGGTTTAAGGAAGTTTATGGTTTGATTCAAGAGAAAGGCGTTTTTTGGGCGTTTGATCAGATGATTGAAACTGGAGATTTGCCCTATGAGGAAATCATTAAACTTCAGAATTCGAAACGGACAAGCTTGAAAGCTATCGAATTAGGGAGTGAAGAAACGGCTAGGGTTTTAGGCCAGGTGATTGACACTTTGAGTTTAGCTCCTGTGCATTTGGTTCTTCATGATTCAGCTCTAGGGTTAGCTTCAAACTGGGTTTCTGAGAATTCCGCCAATGTTCGTAGTATGACCCTCATTGACTCCAGCGTCAGCCCGGCATTGCCCTTGTGGGTTTTGAAAGTACCAGTAATCAGAGAAGTCTTGTTAGGGTTCTCATTTGGTTTTCAGAAATTAGTGAGCTTCCGTTGCTCAAAGGAGATGACTCTATCGCAAATTGAAGCTCATAGGATACTTTTGAAGGGAAGAAATGGGAGGGAAGCTGTTGTTGCTTCACTAAAGATGCTAAACCAAAGCTTTGACCTTGCACAGTGGGGCAATTCAGATGTGATCAATGGTATCCCGATGCAAGTGATCTGGTCTAGAGAAGGGTCTAAAGAATGGAGCGACGAGGGACACCGTGTAGCTAAGGCTCTTCCAAAGGCAAAGTTTGTCACACACACAGGCAGCCGGTGGCCTGAGGTTAGTGATTCAATGGACTTTAAAGTCATTTTAGCTTTATTGAATTGCACAAAGCAGAAGGTCTTTTATGCTTATACTAAAGTCAATTAAAGAAATTCAACTAAATTTAGAATTTAGAGCAGCATCATAGTTAATTATCATTGAGCTTTAAGATTTGATTGCTCTCGTGTAGACAATTTTGTTTTCCCATAGTTTTGTTTCTTTATCATCGTAGTGCTCTCTCCATAGATAGGAGCACGGTATCTTTAGCTCTGTAGCCTCTATGTTTGTGTTGCTTGACTCGTTTTGAGAGCACCAACTAGTGGGTTTTTCATTGATTAGATTAACTTGTTGAGTTGTTAAATTGAAATATAAATGGCACATAAATCTGGAATTTTGACGATTTCAATTAGATGCAGAGTTGTTAAAGATTCGGTGTGGCTTTATATCTTTTTACGTTTAGCGTTCGATTGGTGCAGTGGTTTTAGGAGTTGAATCCTAGACTTGTGGTCATTTTGATGATGCAGGAAAGCAAATCTGGGGAGCTTGCAGATTACATTGCAGATTTCGTCTCTCTTCTCCCAAGCTCCATCAGACAAGTTGCTGAAGAACCTATCCCGGAGAAAGTCGAGAAATTGTTAGAAGAAGCAAAGGCCGGTGGTGACCATGCGCATGCTGGTTACACTGATGCTTACGGTCTAGGCGAGGGATGGACTACTTAATATCCTTTTTTGAGTTCTTAATGCACCGTTTAATTTTATGACTATTATGAGATTTCTCTTTGTGTTCAAATTCTGAAAGATTATGTAATCCGCCGTGTATTTCTTGTAACTTTGCAAGTCAGGAGCAAATGAAAACAAAAAAATTCCACAGATCCAAAAATTGACCCTCTAAAGTCATTCTGCTAAAATTCACTAAAATTATAATAAATAAAAAACATTTGTTTGTACGGAATATGGAAGGTGTGGATATTTAGGCATCCACGCTTGCTTATCTTCAAAGTCTACATGGATTGCTGTTGCTGCGATCGAAATGGCGTCGACGATCGCCTTACCGAATACCTCATCGACGGCAACACCGCCGATCTATCAAGCAACACCATCTCGCCGTTAAATTCTCATTTCATGGCGCTTTCCTGCCGCGACACACTACGCCTTATCTTCCTGAGGCTTACCGTTTCCGATCTGGCTCGTGCGAGCTGCGTTTGCAAAGTTTGGAACTCTGTCGCCTCAGAGGACGATCTGGTGGTTACTGCTTTCACGGCGCCATGGCGGATTAAGGAACTTGTTGGGATGCCTGCTTCCGGATCCTTCTGGAGAGACAACGGAATCTGGAAATTTGCTATCTCTCATCGGATTTCTCGTGGAGATAGTGTCACCAGTCTCGCCGTCAAGTACTCCGTCCAGGTACGATGACCTCTTTCTCCTTCGATCACTCTTTCCTTTTTTCCCAGATTATTAATTCGGAAATGTAATCTCAATTTGCTCTTCATGATTCTTAAGTGTTAGCATCTGAAAGAATCTATGTAGATCCCTGAAGCGCTTTTGGCTGATTTAGCTTAATGTTTGCTTAGAGAAAGTCTTGAAGCTAAATGCTTTCCATATATGTGTAGTTTTTTTAGTCTGTTTCAATGATGTTGAAGAAACATATATTTATTAAGATATACACACTGTTGTTTGAACTTCATGTAACGATTCTTGAGGCAAAATTTGGAACTGTGAAGAGTTAACACCAAGAGATGAATTTCTGGCTCTGTTTTTTAGTATCTTGTGCTGTTTTTTCTTGTTTTCGAGTATCCCATGAACAGACTGTTTGTTTAGTATCCGGCTCCCGCATATTAGTAATTTCGTACTTGCACCTGGATAGAGACTGCTATGATAACTTCATCTGTTTCTTTGAAGAACATATCTTAAGTTTCCAGTCTCTCTGTCTTACAGAGATAATTTTTTCATCAAACATGAACTTTTCATGTTTGTACAATGTATAGTACGGATCCACCAATTCTAGTCTATAAGGAAAATGAACAACGTTATAAGTTCTTTATGGAATGTCATGAAAAGGCTTTCGCATGTCCGCAAATTTGTAACAGAAATTATATGGAGCTATTAACAGTGTAAAAATTGCGATGTTTGTGCTCTCTTTTAAGCTTCCTTATCTCATTATTCTCTATAAGGTTTCTGAGACCACGATCCTCCCTTATCTGAACTTCAGATTTCATTTCATATTGTTCTTTGCTGTTAACGGTGTAGATCCACCAGCTTTCACTATATGTTTTTCCTTCTGGTATCATGTCTACAATTTTCTTTTGTGATTTTTGTTTCCTTTTTTCCTGTTATCAGTTATCACAAACTAATAAATTCATGAGCTTACCTTGAATCTAAATTCATGAGCAGAACTTGAATATTACACCTTTTCCTTCAACAATGTAGGTTATGGACATAAAGCGGCTAAACAACATGATGAGCGATCATGGGATTTACTCAAGAGACAGACTGCTTATCCCAATAAGCAATCCCGAAATTCTTGCAAACACCATGTGCTACATAGAGGTAGACAAGTATGCCAAACGAGAAGTAGCTGTTCTTTACCTAGAAGGTGGACCAAAGAGAGAACAGACTGTATCTAGTATAAATCATATGTCCACCTTATCAGCCCATGGCAAGCGAAGGCTGATTGATTCTCTAAGGAGAAGCATGCAAGTTGATGATGGAACCGCTCTATACTACTTGGCTATCGCTGAAGGGGATCCAAGATCCGCTTTGTCTGAGTTCTCGGCTGATCTCAGTTGGGAGAGGCAGACTGGTCTCAACTAGGCTTGGCAAAGAAGCTCCTGGATGGCTGATCCAAAGGTAAATGAGTGTTTATATTGCAATCTTGGGTCTGATTAGGAATTGATAAGGCTAAGTTGCTTCTGCAGTTAAGCTGAGAGTAAAACAAGATTTACTGATTGTTATAGAATAGTCATAATTCCAGGCCTCAAGTACTACCTATAAAATGATATACTAACAATAGATTATTAATATGGCATCTGCTCTTTTGCAAAGTAGCCTCCAGTGGCTTATTGGGTGTATGATACAGCTTTGAGGATATAATTGGCTCCAGCATATAAGAGTTATGGGGTGATTTCAGGCTCAGGACATTGGCGCACCATGGTCAAATCGAGAGTGATATATATGTGCAGTTCCCTTCTTGTAAAGTTTTCATCTTCAAGCTTCTTGTTGTTCATATGGTGGTTGGGTGACTGAGACCTATTCCAAACCTCGAAGTCCCAAATATTTATGTAATTTGTCCCCCAATAAGAAGCATACATTAAAACATATTATATAAGTAGGGTGTCAAACTGAGCCAGCTCGCCCGGTTCAAATTAGCTCATGATAAGCTAGAGTAATTCACGGTTCGGCTCAACTCAGTTCATTTATTATACAAGCTTACAAACATAAGCTCGAACCAGATCATCTAGAACGTGATCTAAATGAGCTAGTTCGCGAGCTC